CATTTATTTTTAAAATGTATCCATATAAAGTGATTCTAAGCTAACCAGGGATATTGGGTAAACTTAAATTTAAGAATTTTCACCTGATTCTATTTAAATATCTGTGAGTCAAGAGATGTCATGGAAATGGAGGTAATCACAAGAAGGATTAGACTGAAAGTGTCTGAATATATCACAAATCACAGAAGTGCTCCAAGCAATTTCTTCCTAAATGCGGTGTCAGCTGTGAGTCTTTGAGTATTCCTGTTTCATCTGTATTTCAGTGTGTCTCTCATGAAATTCAAATGGCTTATTTCTTGCCTGCAACAGTCTTTGCAAATTAAGATAATTCTCTTAAAAACTAAGTTTATTTGGTTTTCCTTCCACTTAAGGAAGAAGACAGGAAAAGGGAACTAGAAGAAATGAGGAGAAGAGAGAATGAAATAGTTTATAAAGCTTGGTTACAGAAGAAGAAAGTACAGCTAAAAGAAGAAAAGCGAGTTCGTCGTGCAAAGCAGCTGGAAGAGCTGAGGATGAAAGTAAGGTCACCCTACTGTGGAACTGGGATCTATAGTGCTCTTGTTAAATAGGAAAACCAAATTCTAAACCTGGCTTCATAGCTAAGTGTATGAAAATTTACATCAATGGGGAATGTTCTTGTTACATTGTTTTCAGTGAAGAGCTAGACTTGCAGGTTTAGGATTGATCTCCTTGGCAGAGTGGCTTGCAATTTAGAAGCAGCGTACATGAACTTAACTATAAAATCACAGGGGATACAGTGATGCTCCCATATACCAGAAGAAGGACTTGATTGAGCCCTGCAGTGAACAAGCAGCCAGAAAACTTTTTGGAGTGTGTTCTTTACCATCAAAACTTGTTAGCAAACAGTTAATGCACATGACCTGATACAAACCCGGGGATTCAGATGCTGTTCTGAAGTTCTTCTGCCTTAAAGTGATGGGCTTCAAAAGCTAAATAAGTACTTTTTTAAACATAGTGCTTTGAATGCTTGCTCATGTATATATTCTATGCCAGATTAGCATATGCTCTAGTGTGTTTATAAAGTATGTTTCATGGATGGGAGATGCCAGCAGAATACAAAAAAAAATAATATAATGTGATTATTATAATGGTCATTTACTGATAACGCTTGTATGTACATGTCTTTTATTAACTAGGACGTGAACAGGGATCCAGAAGAAGCCTACAGGTTATGGCTTAAAAAAAAGCACCAACAATATATGAAAGAAAAACGGATAGAATTTTTGAGACGCCAAACTGAGGAAGTGGCCTTTGTACCAAGGGCAGAGGAATGCGACAGAGCTTTTAGAGAGTGAGTAGGGTCATTCCTAAGGGACCACATTTGCTACTTTTGCAGTGTATCATCTCAGAACTGTAGCTGTCTTATGGTATATCTTTGATGCTAAAGTCCTCATTGTTTTGGAGGGGGTTTTTTTTTCATGAATATGCCCTTCTAAACTTACACCTCAGCAAAAATACATCAATGCATGTTGTTTGTTCACTGCTGTGAAATTATTTATCAGAACCTGAGCTAAAAAGAGTGAATTGCTTTTGCTAAAAAAGGGATCTTCTCCTCAAACATTTGTTGCATGTTCTGGAGCAAGCTTGGGTTTATTCAGTCCATGAAATAAGCATAAAGTTAAAGGTGGGTGCAGAAG